TCTCTTTCCTGGGCCAGGAGGTCACCTGATCTCTTTGTTCACCTTTAGCTATTTCCTTGCAGGGGGGGAAGGGCCCCAGCCATTTGTTGCCAGGGAGACAGAGTGTCAGTGATTTATGCACACTGGCCTTTATCCCTCCACCTAGAGACTTAAGAAATGCATAGGGGAAACTGAGGCACCCACACAGTATTCAGAGGAAACGTTAACAGTCCCACTTCATCACACGCATATCCCAGCACACCAAGCCCCCTTACCTGGGGTCACCTCCATATCTCAGCCCCCCGAGTCTCCCTTCCTGGGGTCACCCCATATCCTAGTGCCCTGAGCCCCCTCCCTGGGTCACTCCCATACCCCAGCACCCTGACACCCCTGAGGTCACCCCATCTCCCAGCCCCCCTCCCAGGGGTGACCCCAATAACCCAGCATGCAGGGACCATCCCTGGCCTTGGGGCCCCCACACCAGGCCCTCTCCCTGATGCACCCAAGATGTTTCTGCCCCCACCACACCAGCTGCCCCCCCCAGGGCCAGGGGTGCAGGGGGGGGCTCCCCAGGAGAAGGGCTGGGAGGGGCTCAGCCCTCCACCTCCCTCACCGGAGATGAGATGTGTATGGGGGGGCGGAGTGGGGGCAACAGCCCCCCCAGGCCCTGGCTCTGAGCCCGGCTCCCGTCCGCAGATGCCGATTCCTACGAGAACATGGAGGGGGGGCCAGGCTGCGTCCTGCCCCCCCGGGAGGGGAGCCTGGAGCTGCGAGGAGACGGTGAGTGATGGGTGGGTGGTGGTGAGATGGGCACTGGGGGGTACCCGGGGCAGGGCCTGGGGGCAGAGGTCAGTGGCGGGGGCGCCCCTGGGCTCTCACCTGTTTTCTCTCATTGCAGCTGCGGGGCTCAGGGCCCCAGGGCCTGTGGGAGCTGAACCCGCCAGGCGGGCGGTGCCCCGAAGCCTGACTCGGGACTAGGAGACGCCGCCCCTGGGCCGAGACAGGCAGCGAGTGTAGCTGAGCCCACGAGCACAGGGCTCTCGGGGAGGGCCCCGCGCCCCCATGGATCCGCTCCCCATCCCACGTCCTGGGCCCCGCTGCCGGGGACGACCCCAAGGCTGCGGGAGGCCCGTGGGCTCTGGGAGCTGTGCCGCAGGGCTCCAGACACTGTTTCCATGGCTCTGCCATGGCCAGCTGCCGACACCGTGCCCCCAGGTGCCTCTGGCCTGCCCCCGCCCCGGGCTCGGCTGCCCCACACGGGCAGCTCCATCCAGCTGGGCTGGACCGCATTCCCTCGGCGCCTGACACGTGCATGTCCAGGCTGGGGACAGGGCCCCCCCAGTGCCTGTACCCCCGATGACACGCTGGGGACAGGGCCCCCCAGTGCCTGTACCGCCCCTCCCATGACACACTGGGGACAGGGCCCTCCCGATGACACGCTGGGGACAGGGACCCCCCAGTACCTGTACCGCCCCTCCCATGACACACTGGGGACAGGGCCCTCCCGATGACACGCTGGGGACAGGGCCACCCCAGTACCTGTACCCCCCAATGACACACTTGTGTACCGCCCCCCCCCATGTCTGTACCCACCACCCCATTACACGCTGGGGACGGACAGGTTGGCCCCAGCACCAGTACACACCCTCCTGAGCAGCAATCTCTCCCCACACATCTCCACTGCCCCTTGGCCTGATGTGTACGCAGGGGCGTCTCTGTGTTTTGCCGCCCCAAGCACGGCAGGCAGGCAGCTTTCAGCGGCGCACCTGCGGGAGGCCCCCGGTTCTGCGGCTTCCGCGTACCCATCGCCGAATTGCCGCCGAAGCCGCAGGACCAGTGGACCTCCCGCAGGCATGCCGCCGAAGGCAGCCTGACCGCCCCCCGCGGCTTGCCGCCCCGGGCACACGCTTGCTGCGCTGGTGCCTGGAGCCGCCCCTGTGTGTATGAAGAGCGGGGGCCACGGCAGGCAACATGCCCCCCAAACATCCTACCCCCCCCACCCCAGTGTGCCCCCGTCCGTAATAAATCCTATTATCCTTGGCCTGAGTTTGTGTCACTGGGGTCAGGTGACAGCCAGAAGTGGGAAGGGCGTGGGGTTGGGGGCGGGGTTGGGAGTCAGGACTCCTGAGTTCTATCCCTGGCTCAGGGGGTCTAGTGGTTAGAGCGGGCAGCTGGGAGCCAGGAGTCCTGGATTCTCTCCCCATCTCTGGGTGGGGAGTGGGACTTAGAGGGTTAGAATGGGGTTGTGGGTGGGGGAGAGGCTGGGAGCCAGGACACCTGGGTCCTGAGAACAATGGAAAAATCTTGTCCCTCCCGCGCCATTGAGAACAATGGAAGCTGAGTTCTTTGAACGCTGGCCTTGTATGGCCCCCCTCAAAGAGAGGGGTCTCCGTGGGACACTGGCTCCAGGCGGGTGTGGGGGGGACCCTGCTGTGTGTGAGGGCTGGGCC